GGGGAGGGGGAGGGTGGTAGAGAAGACGTGGTGGGGGTCGACGGAGATGAGGATGCGGGCGACGGCGTGCGCGGCGGTGTGAAGGATGTCGTGGGGGTTGGTGGTGGATGGGGGGGATTTGGCGCGCTGTGCTGCGGTGATAGTGGCGTGGATGGTGAGGAGTTGCTTGACGGCGCCTTGCTGGGCGAGCACGCCGCGGTGTCGCTGCTCTTTGCTGAGGGAGAGGAAGATTTTGGTGATGCGGAGGAGGACGGCGGGAGAGGCGCCTTTGCTGATGGTGTTGAGGAGGGGAACGGCTTCGGCATCGAGCACCGTTCGACATCGGACCGTAACCTTTTCATTGGACTCGAGTGGGCTGGCTTCGGTCGGCTTGGAGCTGTTGGCATACGCTTTGAGCTCGGAGATCTTCTTTTGCTCTTCGGTCAGCGGAGGGGGATAGGCCGTGATGTTTTCCAAGATCGATACGCCGCCAAAATGAGCGGGTTTGATCCCCTGGCCGGGTCCGCCAAGTTTCGCAATCAGCATCTTCAGGAACTCCTTGTCGTTGGTTAGATCCTCTTTGACTTGTGGGTTCAGCGATGCGAATGCAAGGGCTTCGATGGCATCTACGACGCCCGGCTGATCCGGTGACACAATCGTGGCTTTGAATTTTTTGATGAGGTCGTCCAACTCCCCTCCGCTCTTCAGCGAGGACTCGTTGGCGATCTTCACAAGAATCAACGCTGCCAGGTTCGACCGCCGCGCGTCCACGTTCGCTTCTACCACCTCCCATAACCAGAGCTTGCAATATTTCGCGATGCCCTCACGGCAACCTTTGTCCATGCATGCAACACTGAGGAGGTCCAGTGCTGCCTGTTCCACTCGGTTGCTCCGCTTCTCTTGCACGATGTGCACGAACGCGGGTAAAAACCCGTCCGCGAGAAAGAGTGCTGCCGCATTGGTCGGCTCCATCGGAAACACCGCGGCAGCGGCGGAAAACGCGACGATCAATCCGTCGGCGGTGGGTTTTCGAACTCTCCAAGTCACATAGTTGGAAATCAAGACCTTCGCCGAATCCGGCGACGATTCCAGCAACTTCGCGGTCGCGAGGGTCGCGTACTTCTTGATCCTCGTGGGCAGCCGAATATCCAATGCGGAGAGGATGACGTCGAATCCATCGGCATCGATCAGACCATGGAGATGGTGAGCTTCGTAGGACAAGAGGTTGGCAATCAGCTTCATTGCGCGGTCGGGATAGTCCACACCGGCTTCCATCAGACTCGCAAGGGCCAGCTGAAACGCGTCCCGAATCGCTGCAACGCGTGCAGTATCGTCTTTCCATTCCGATTCAAGCCTGAGGGCTGCCATCATGGCGTCCATAGTGTCTTCACCACGAACGAACATCTTCTTGAATGTAGCGGTCGGGTGGGCTACGAGCGCAGCCGCCAGTGCCCTTCTCGCGCCAGGATGCTTCAGGACCTCGCCGGTGAGCTGATCCGCCATGTCACAGTCGGATTTGTATTCCAGGAGGATATTCATCGCTTCATCGGCAATAGGGTCGGATAGCTTGTGTTTGTGGAGGTAGTCGAGGGCTTCTTCGCCATCATCGTCACTCAAGGATTCGAGCCACTCGTTGCATAGATCGACCAGCCGGCTCCCATCCTGATATCTTCTCAGCTCTTCCCGTGTGGATTTGACCTTCTCATTTTCGGGAGAAAGCTTGCTGGCCTCTTCAAGCTGTCGAAATGCATCATTTGTCTTCCCGGCCTTCGCAAGATCGATGGCTTGCGATGCGAGTTTGGTCGCCTGATCGGACTCGGGGTTCGCTGACTTTGGGTCCATTGCGTTGATGAACTGCAATGTATCCCACCACGAATTCAAAGAGAGAATCCAGAAAGGTAGATGATGGGAATTGCAATTGAGGAATGGAAGTAGAAGACGTCACAATCATCGGATGTTCGAAGAGTTGGTCAGATCTCTCGTCTCCAGTTCACACCAAAGCAGCAAGTGTGGGGGTCCAGATGGTCAAGACTCAAGCTTGACGCGTTCCGCAACTCTTTCGTGAACTCTTCGTGAACAGAAGTTCGGCGCCATCTTACCGATCACGCCTTTCATTCACCATTTCAAAGACTCAAGATGGCACCTCAATCAATCCCCTCTGGGGCCGATGCCAATGCTGATGCAGCTCGTCTACGATTCCTCCAGGGAGCCGCTAAAGCACTGACAGTCGCTGCACCAGGAATCGCTTCTCATATTGCCACCGATATGAATCGACTCTTCCCTCCGATTCCATCAGCGCCGACTCCAGCGAGCTTATGTATGGCCTGTGGCCTGCCCTTGCAGCCCGGCACCAACTGCAAAGTCTCAATTCACCATACTGGAACATCCCGAATCAAGCGGCGTGCATATGCATCATTCATACGATCTCATAAAGGCGCTGGGTGTCGAGTCCTTCGGTGCAGCCGGTGCAATTCGGAGACACTCGAGCTGATCAAGAAGAAATCAGTCGCAGATATTGCGCCCGCTGAAGAGCAGTTGGCTACTGAAGCGATCCGCGATCAGGTGAAAGCCATTACGGCAACAGCCAAGACGTCGAAGCAAAGGGCGAAGGAGAGGAAGCAGCGTAGTCTACAAGGCTTACTGAGCAAGGCGAAATCGGAGAATCCTCCATCGAGTTCGGGATTCGGACTCAATCTTATGGATTTCATGAAGCATAGATGATCCAGTGCATCCGATATCAGATTCTGTTGGTCCATCTGGTTCACAAAATCTGTCGCATTCACACACTTCTCCGGCCTATTGGACCTCTACCAGCAATTCATGGGAATACGCAACTCATGAAAGCCCTTCGAGTATCCCAAACTAAGAGATACAGACCTTGACTATCATGTCCACGATCGAAATAATTTCTACAGGGAGCGCTTCGATGATTCTAGAAGAGAAAAAGACCCTTCCGCTTGGGTAAGCTTGCCGCTGGCGCATGGTGGGGGAAGAAATATTTCATCATCACTGCACCACATCCTCCGCATGCCATCAATTTAATTTCATCCTAACTCGACTCACTGGACGAATATATCCCCGGCGTCGCATATCCATCCCAACCCTTAGGGTTCATTCGTTTTATTATCGGCACGATGGCGGATCAAGCAGAGCGCAAGGATCCCAAGCTTTTCGAGAATATCGGCGCACAAGTCGCGGACACCGCGGGAGATGCGGACGACCAGCGAGTCGTGGAGGAGATTTCCAGTCTATGCATGAATTGTCATGAAGATGTAAGTGGCATCAAATATCCTAATTGTTTTGGCTGTATTAACAGATTTCCAGGGCACCACACGACTCCTCCTCACCAGAATACCATACTTCCGCGAGATCGTCATCATGTCCTTCGAATGTCCATCATGCGGCCTCAAAAACTCTGAAGTTCAGCCCGCCGGCGAAATCCATGCAAAAGGCGCTCGCCACCGATTCAATATACAGTCATCCGCTGACCTCGGCCGACAAATCGTCAAGAGCGACACTTGTACCGTGCGCATCGAGGGAGCCGATCTAGAAATCCCCCCGGGGCGAGGCCAGATGACCAACGTCGAGGGCATCTTGGTCATGGTTGCACAGGACCTGGAGTTGAAGCAACCGGAGCGAAAAGAGGTGGCGGCCGAGATGTACGAGAAGGTTCAATCGGTCATCGACACGCTCTACAGCATGTCCAAGGCGGAGAAGTTGCCGTTTGTCCTCGTCCTCGATGACCCCGCAGGAAACTCGTGGATCGAGCCATCACCGCAGGACATATCAGGGAAATGGAGCAAGCATGAGTATGTTCGGACTGCCGAACAGAATACGGCGCTCGGATTGTCCGGGGGCGCGGAAGAGGGCGCGGAAGAGGGCGCGGAAGAGGGCGCACAAGAGGAGACAAATGGGGTGCAGATGCGCCCGGAGTATCATCCAAGACAGATGTACCCGAGCATGCCAGCGGAGACGGGGACGACGAATGTTGATGCGGAGGACGATATCGTGGAGAACCAGGTGTACTCTTTCCCCGCTACCTGTCCCGGCTGCACGCGCCCTTGCGCGACGAACATGAAGATGGTCAACATCCCTCACTTCAAACAAGTCGTGCTCATGAGCACCGTCTGCGAGGATTGCGGATGTAAGTTTTGCTTAACCCTTCCCCGTTTCCCCCCTCTCACCGTCCCTAGATCGCAGCAACGAAGTCAAGACCGGCGGCGCGGTCCCCGACAAAGGCCGCCGCATCACCGTCTCCGTCCAGAACGCCGAAGACCTTTCCCGCGATATCCTCAAATCTGAGTCCTGCGCCCTATCATGCCCGGAACTCGAACTGAGCGTCGAGCCGGGGACGATGGGCGGACGGTTCACGACGATCGAAGGGCTGTTGACGCAAGTGCGCGACGACCTCCGCTCGTCGGTGTTTGACATCGGCGACGCGAACGCGGGGGACAGCATGCCGTCGACGGAGAAGGCGCGGTGGGCGTCGTTCTTCGGGCGGTTGGATGGGGCGATCAACGGCGCTGTGAAGTTCACGGTGGTGTTGGAGGATCCGTTGGCGAGTAGTTATGTGCAGAGCTTTAAGGCGCCGGAGCCGGACGAGCAGATTACGTTGGAGGATTATGAGCGGACGGAGCAGGAGTTGGAGGAGTTGGGGTTGAATGATATCAAGACGGAGGGGTATGAGGAAGATGCTGCATAAGGGAGCTGATGGATGACGATACCTGGGAGGTGTCTATCCTGGTCTTATACCATCATTCTAGAATTGAGTCTAGATGCATAGAATTCATGGGCTTCGCATCCACTGTTCATTCAATTCCTGGATCAGTCCGATCACTAGAATATTTGTTTGGAGATGTAGCATCCATCCTGAATCCATTCTAGAAACCGGGCGGTTCCAACATATGAACTATCATGGATAGCATCTGGTTAAAATCTCTCAGTCTTGACCTTCCAAGTACCTTAATATCTTAATTTATACTTTCATGGTGCATTTTATTGCCTGCTAGATGAACGGGAGCCCCTCCAGCAAGCCACCCGTAGTGCCCCTCGCCGCCCCCGTCGCTGCGGCTCCGGCGCCTCCGACCCGCCACGCTTCCAGCTGCCAAACATCCCACGGCGCGGCAAAACTTTTTGCCCAACAATTTTATTCCAGCAACAACCTACAAGACAACTTGTCAAACGACGCTGTCGCAAACCGTCTCGCTCGCACACGATAGAGTATCCTTACCCAATCTAAGGCTCTCTGACGTCCATGGCGGATTCCGGATATCAGACCGAAGAAAACAGGCAAGCGAAGCGGCAGAAGACGGAGGGTGGGGCGATGGATCCGAAGACGAATCCGTATCTCGCGCACATGTACGAGGAGCAGGGCGTGGAGGTGAATTCCTACCGTGGAAATGGTGGCTACGGAGGGATGAAGCAGTCGAATAGTGTGTTGGCGAATTTCCAGCGTCATAAAACGACGTCGGAGCAGGCGAAGAAGGCAGAGGATGGGCCGCAAAATCCGATCACCGACCGACAGCTGTCGCAGCAGTATTTCAACATCTTGCAGACGAGGCGGGGCTTGCCGGTGCACGCACAGAGGTATGTGATAATTTCCGCGGGCAATTCTACCGGAAGGGACGCTAACCGTCCGCAGAGATGAATTCCTCGCGCTCTACCAAAAGTCGCAGATCCTCGTCTTCGTCGGCGAGACCGGGTCCGGCAAAACGACGCAGATCCCGCAGTTCGTCCTCTTCGACGACCTCCCTGAGTTCCAGAACAAGATGGTCTGCTGTACGCAGCCGCGCCGAGTGGCCGCCATGTCGGTCGCGCAGCGCGTCGCCCAGGAAATGGACGTCACCCTCGGCGAGGAAGTCGGGTACAGCATCCGCTTCGAAGACAAGACGTCCCCGAAAACCATCCTGAAGTACATGACGGACGGGATGCTGCTGCGCGAGGCGATGCACGACAACGACCTCAAACGCTACAGCACGATCATCCTCGACGAGGCGCACGAGCGCACGCTCGCGACGGACATCCTGATGGGGTTGCTGAAGGAGGTGGTAAAGCGGCGTCCGGACCTGAAGATCGTGGTCATGTCGGCGACGCTGGACGCGACAAAGTTCCAGAAGTATTTCTATGAGGCGCCGTTGCTGGCAGTGCCCGGTCGCACGCATCCCGTCGAGATCTTCTACACCCCGGAGCCCGAGAACGATTATCTGGAGGCGGCGATTCGGACCGTCGTGCAGATCCACGCGACCGAGCCGGAGGGCGATATCTTGCTATTCTTGACGGGTGAAGAGGAGATCGAGGATGCGTGCCGGAAGATCACGTTGGAAACCGACGAGCTGGTTCGAGCGGCGGATGCAGGCCCGCTGAAGGTGTATCCTCTCTACGGGTCTCTGCCCCCGTATCAGCAGCAGAAGATTTTCGAGCCGGCACCGGCCCCGCGGACGAAGGACGGTCGACCGGGGAGAAAGGTCATCGTCTCCACGAACATCGCCGAAACGTCCTTGACCATCGACGGCATCGTCTACGTGGTCGACCCGGGCTTCAGCAAGCAGAAGGTGTACAATCCGCGGATCCGCGTCGAGTCGCTTCTGGTGTCTCCGATTTCCAAAGCGTCGGCGCAGCAGCGGGCCGGTCGTGCCGGTCGTACGCGACCGGGAAAATGCTTCCGATTGTATACCGAGCCCGCGTTCAAGAAGGAGCTCATCGAACAGACCTACCCTGAAATCCTTCGATCGAACCTGTCGGCCACGGTTTTGGACTTAAAGAAGCTTGGCGTCGATGACCTCGTGCATTTCGATCTTATGGACCCTCCTGCACCCGAGACGCTTATGCGAGCCTTAGAAGAGTTGAACTACTTGGCGTGTCTCGACGATGATGGCGAACTTACCCAGCTTGGTCGTCTTGCCGCCGAGTTCCCGCTAGATCCTGCCCTCGCGGTGATGCTCATTTCCTCCCCGGAATTCTATTGCTCCAACGAGATGCTCTCCCTGACCGCGCTTCTCTCCGTGCCGCAAATCTTCGTGCGACCCGCCAACGCCCGCAAGCGCGCCGACGAGATGAAAGACCTGTTCGCCCACCCGTCCGGCGACCACCTCACGATGCTGAACGTCTACCACGCGTTCCGCGGCCCGCAAGCGCAGGACAACCCAAAACAATGGTGCCACGACCACTTCCTTTCGTACCGCGCGCTACAGCAGGCGGACAACATCCGGCTACAGCTTAAGCGCATTATGGAGCGCGAGGAGATCGAACTGATGTCGACGCCGTTCGAGGACAAGAAGTACTACGAGAACATCCAGCGCGCGCTAGTGGCCGGGTTCTTCATGCAGGTGGCCAAGCGCGACGGCACGGGGAAGACGTACATCACGGTCAAGGACGACCAGAGCGTGCTGCTGCATCCGAGCACCGTCCTTGGGCAGGACAGCGACTGGGTAGTATACAACGAATACGTGCTGACATCCAAGAACTACATCCGAACGGTGACGGCAATCAAGCCGGAGTGGCTTCTGGTGAGTAATTTTCCCCTGATTTTTGAAACCTGTGCCGAACTGTTTTTCGCAAGCGTTTCGAGACATCGCGCTAACGCATGGTGATGCAGGACATTGCGCCGGTTTACTACGACCTGAGCACGTTCAAGAAGGGCGACATCAAGAACTCGCTGCAGCGGATCCGGGACAAGTTGAAGCGGCGCGACGCGATGAGAAGCGGTCGATGAAGGGAATTTTCGGTCGTGGGTAATCCTGGCAACCGTTGGTCTGTCGCGATACGAACGATGTCGAACGGCTGTGGGTGTGGGCGACCAATGAGCGGTGTCCCTAAGAGAGAAATCATGGTATCATATCGGGCGAATTCGACGCGGTTCCAGATGAACGAATGAAGGGGCAGCGAGGGCGGTGACACCATGATATGCATTGTCGACTATCATAGACCGAGCAGCAGTCCTTGACCCCGGGCCGTGGACTAGGATCTGTGGCTCTAGGGAAACTCTAGAATATTGCAGGCGTCTAAAATTAGCACGCCGAGTCTTCCGCGGGACCAGAACGAGTTAGCAACAAACTGTCATCTGTGGATTTATTCTGTGCCCATTTTCCGGTTTAGAAAATTCAAAGACCGAAATACGCATTTCCTCGTGTCACATCACTCCCCAATCGTCGAATGGGAGGGGGAGTTGGGCTCTCGATGCTGCTCCTCGGGGTGATTTCATGCCGTACGACACGAAAACCGATATATGCGGCGGTATGCGACTGTACGGGGTAACGTCAATGCTTCTTTGGCCCATCGGTGATGTATCTATCCGTTCATCTGTCGACGAAAAGCATATGTGCTACCCGTCCCATGGGATGCATTTCTCCAAGAAATTGGCAAGGTACCTTGTATGAAATGCATGTCATGACATGGCAGGGCTGCTTCAAGCTTATTGCTTGGTAGTAACGAGTAGTTAAGGCTGTTGATGGTTGTGATACTTACTGATTCCTATCCCTAACCGTGCCTAACTTCTTGTGCTCCCTCGCAGGGCTTCTAGCAAGCTAGCGCGAGAAGACCGAGAAATGCGAACTTTTCCTTCTGCACCGCTTTATACGACTTTCCGGTGCTGCGGAAGAATTCGATTTGAAAGTCCTATCTCCACCAATATTCCGCCAGAGATACCTCCTTGGTCCCGACACCAATATACTGTAAACTGTTGGCGGTTAGTCCGTTAGTAGTGCGGGCAACATATCGATATGTATCGCCAGGCTCACACGCCCTATACACTACGCGACTCCACAATGAAACTGCCTTGGCCGATCTCAACAGTAAACAATCAACAGTCAACTTTCTTGAAGGGAGTGTTTCCGACTTTCTGTCAACCTTCCCCCGATCCCGTTCCCGCCCAGCGACCGGCTTTCTCGGAAATCAAGCTGCTTCCCTAGCATTCTCACCTTCGAGAACCGGCCGATTTACTAATCGGATGGCGAAAGACCCTACCCACGCCGTCCCCCCAGCCCGGCGGATGCAGGTATTCATGCTCCCTCCCTCCTCGCAACTGTGGCGCTTTCTAGAAAATGCTCCGGCATTCGCTTGCCGTCTTAGGTTGTCACTTGTGGTGGCTCTCCTCTTCAATTGGATGGACCCCAATCTCCCATGATGAAAACTTGAAAAGCGTATCCAGCCGAATCTCTTACGAGTTTGGGATCTAGGAACCTGCCGACAGGGGCTCTTTGGCTGCAGCCAGCAGCCCGCATGTACTGTGTATCGGCAACATTGGAATTCGGAGTCGCCGCCCGTTCAATAATACGTAACTCAGCTAGTCTCCCTTGAGCGAGGATCGGCCGTTTCGTCACGACTGGTTCATTGGGAGTTGCAGATGAATGGTTAATAATAATTGCGATGGTAGGGAACAGTCGGCGCTTGGGGTAAGGGTGCAGACGTGCAGCGTATCGTCTGGGGGGATTTTCACCATTGACCGGAATGCCGAAACGAGATTATTCAGAATTCAGAGCCATCCAGCTACTTACAGACATGACTTAGGTTGGTCTGATTATCGAGCAAAACGCGCTGCTGGGTTCTTCAAATTTCTTGATATACGAGACGCGATGGTCGTACACCTTACCGAACCCGACTTTCTGGAATTAAACATCCTGTCCATGACCATCTCTCTTTCGTTTCCCATGCTTGATCGACTGTTTATGTACTTCCTTTTTGGGTTCTTCATTCTTGCCTTATCGTATACAACCTACAACACCCATGAGCGGCTCAAGTAGTAGATCAAAGAAAATCTTGCACCCCCGAGGCCCCGAGGCCGACGCGGAATACTCTCTAGCTATCAAAGAGCGAAGTCCCAAGGCATGTATCGCCTGTCGGACGCGGAAAGTCAAATGTGACAAGCAATCCCCGTGTGGGAATTGCGCGAAGACGAGGTTGGAGTGCATCTTCCCATCCCCTATTCGGACGTGCTATCGTCCGAAGCGGACACAGTCACAGAAAGAGACGGCCACCACCACACTAAATCCGGAACTTAAAGAGCGTATGGACAAGCTCGAGACCGTGAGTGGGGGTGCGTCAGCAGCGCAGTTGGACTGAGCTAATGGGGTTTCACCAGATTGTTGAGGACTTGACAAAAGCCCTGGACGCGGAGAGAAGTCACTCGCTGTCTGGTTCACGGACGGGACGGAGTTCTCTAGACGAGTCGTCGCGCCGGGAGAGCTCCCAAGATGTGATCACTCCAGAGAGCGAGGCATGGGCGTCGGAGTCAGATCGAGTGCGGTACTTTGAAACCCGAGTCGGGCGATTACTGCGGTCCGAGGGGCGATCGCGGTATTTATCGACCAGCTTTTGGGGTCATGGAACCGACGTGGTCAGTCCCCATTCCAGACACTGCGAACGAAGACCTGACGGTTCAACAGGCGGACGATGTCCTCATCAAATCCGACACGGAGATGGCAGACGCGCAAGATCCGCCCAGATCTTTTGACGGAACGTCCAAATTCCCGCTGGGATCCTCGAAAGTGGACCTTCAGTACTTCCACCCGTCTCCCGAGCAAATCGACGTGCACTGGGACACCTACGTCGGCCACTTCGACCCGCTCGTCAAAGTGCTTCATTTACCCACCATGGAGCAACTCGTCACGGCCGTGAAGTTACGACAGTCACTCTCCCCGCCAAATGAAGCACTGATGTTCGCCGTCTACTGGGTAAGCTTGATCAGCATGCCCGAGCACGTTGTCCAGCGCGTTCTGCACCATGAGAAGGCGACGTTGATGACCAATTATCGCTGGGCGGTTGAGCAAGCCTTGCTCAACGCGGAATTGGACAACACGCAGGATCTGGCGACGCTGCAGGCGTTCGTGCTCTATCTCGCGAGCATCCGCCGACTGGATGAGACGAAGCGCGCGGGGAACCTGGCCGGGATGGCGCTCCGGATCGCGCAATCGCAGGGCCTGCACCACGATGGCACGCGGTTCATGCTGCCGCCCTTCGAGACGGAGCAGCGGCGACGGTTGTGGTGGCAGCTTTGCTATCTGGACCAGCGAGCGTCCGAGGATTATGGGGCGGAGTCTTCCGCGTGGGATCTTGCCTTCGACACGGAGCCGCCGTCGAATGTGAATGACGAGGACCTGATCCCCGGGTCCACTCGACCGGTGGAGAGTAAGAGGGTATGGACAGATTCCAGCTTCTGTCTTGTCCGACTGGAGTTTGCGAGGATGAATAGGATGATTCGGACGGGATTAGCGACGGACCGGAAGGATTTGCCAGTGTTCCTAAGTCAAGGTATGTGTAACGGCGGTATCGCTTCGATATCCTTCAAGTCGGCGAAATCGAGCATCTTGCTAATCTGTAAACCGTAAGAAGACTCCAAAGGCAAACGCCACTCCTTCACGCTCGCCGAAAAAGAACAACTCATCTCCCGTTGCCACCACGACATTCACACCCGATACTTCACCAATTACGACCCCTCCGACCCGCTGCAGTACCTCGCCCGCTCCATCACCGACATGCTCATCGCCAAATCTCGCTTCATGCTCCGCAACCCCCTCCGCCCCTCCTCCATCGTCCGCTCCCCCTCCCCCGTCAACTCCCCTAGCTCCCACCGCCCCAGCCAACCCGCCACCACCCAACTGCCTCCCGACGCCAAAGACCGCCAATTCAGCCTCGCTATCTCAATCCTTGAGCTCTCCACGCAGCTCGAATCCGACCCCCGCCTCAACGAGTGGCGCTGGCTCATCTACAGCTACTTCCAGTACCTCCCCCTCGCCTTCATCCTCACCGAGCTGTGCGTCCGCCTCCCCGGCACCCCCGACGTCGACCGCGCCTGGCACACCGTCGCCGCCTCCGTCGATAACTGGACCGACGACATCCGCTCCAGCCAGAACGGCATCATCCTCCAGCGCCTGCTCGCCCGCGCCCAGGCCACCCGCGCCCGGTGGCAAGGCGCCTCCGCGACGCTGCAGATCCCCGGTCAGAGTTCCGGACAGCGGTCATCGCGACCGACATCCCCTTCGTTGCTGTTGCAGCAGCCGTCGGCGATGTCGTCTCCGCTGCCGCCGCCGTTCCCGATCCTCCCCAGCCAGCCGCTCGGCTACCCCGCGCACGCGCCCGCGACGTCGGCCGCATCCCCATTGCAGCCCGCCGCGGCGGGGACGTTTAACGAGACGACATTCGCGTTCTCGGAGACGTCGTGGAACTTCGGGGCGGCGGGGCGGGGAGGGGTGTCGCCGGGGATGGAGCAGGCGATGGAGCTGGACGAGATGGGGATTAGTATGGAGGATTGGAATAATATGTTGAACGAGGGGGGGACGCCGGCGGGTTTTTGGCAGATGGGACCGGCGTCGCCGTTTGGGATGGGGGAGGGGATAATGAATTGGGGGTTGGGGTGAGAGATCTAGGAATGGGAGAGAAGGGAAGTCGTAGAAAGTCCTGGGAGGGGAAGAGTGGGATAATGTATTGTATCATGGATGGGCCTTAGAAGGCGTTTCTTGGGAGATATCTCTTTGCATGGGGGCGGGGACGGGAGGACGCTATAGATCGGATATCAACCTCAATGGGCATAGTTAAGGTAACATGGCATGCAAAGAGCTGCTAATCTCGGTCATTTCGCTTATGAGAATGGACACCAGACGCGGGTCATGTCAGAACTATCGCTCAGTCTCACCTCAGTTTGTAGCTTGCTCCGAGATGGCCGAGAGTTGCGGGATGATGTGCATTCGACCTCCGACCTCCTCGAATGAGTACTTACTAGACGGAATTGCAATTAGAATGTACCCAAATGTTATGCTCAACCGAATATGCATTAGTACGCCTTTCGATGAGTAATTCATCCCTAATTAACACCTGCTAAAGCCGAAACCGCTAAACATCAACGTCCGAAACTCCTCCATCATTCATGAAGACATCCGCATTCCGTCCGCATCACCTAATCCTTCTCCATATGCGGATACCCCACCGCCTCTAACCCCCCCCACTCCTCCTTCACGCTCCGCATACTCACAAACCGACTGATCAGATTCGCGCTCCCGGCCTTGTCGTTCGTCCCGCTCATCCGCGCTCCCCCAAACGCCTGCTGCCCCACTACCGCCCCGGTGCACTTGGTATTGACATAGAAGTTTCCCGCAACGTCACGCAGATGTTCCTCGGCGGCGCGGATCGCGGGGCGGGAGGAGGCGAAGATTGAGCCGGTGAGACCGTAGGCAGTGGTTTCGGAGATAAGCTGGCAGATCGAGGGAAGAGAGGCGAGGTTGTCGGGTTTGGGGTAGGGGCGGTCGGAGGGGGTGGAGGTGGAAGGGGGGTCGTCGTAGACGTAGATGGAGAGGACGGGGCCGAAGAGTTCGGTGGACATGATTTTGTGGGTGGGGTTCGTGGTGCGGTAGACGGTCGGATGGACGAAGAAGCCGGCGGAGGGGTCGGTGTACGTCCCGCCGCACAGCAGCTCAAGCTCGTCGTCGTTCTTCGCCGCGTTGATCCAGCTGGTGAGCCGGTCATAGGAGCCCTGGTGGATCACCGGGCCCATGAAGTTCTGCAAGTCGAAGACGGAGCCGACGCGGATCTTGGCGATCTCTTCGGTCAGGAGGCGCTGGAATTCGGGCCAGATTTGGGAAGAGACGTAGGCGCGGGAGAGTGCGGAACATTTCTGGCCCTGGTATTCAAAAGCGGCGCGAATGGTGTGCAGGACGGCGCTGCGGACATCCGCGCTGCTGTGGACGAGGTGGAAATTCTTGCCGCCGGTCTCGCCGACAACACGGGGGAATGTGCGGTACTTGTCCGTCGCGATGCCTTGGCCGATCTTCGCAAAGATGTTCTTGAACACCGCAGTGCTGCCGGTGTAATGCAGCGCGGCAAAGTTAGCGTTGTCGAGCACGACGTCAGTGATCATCTGGGGGTCGCCTTGAACTAGTTGGATGACATTTTCCGGGAGCCCAGCTTCGAGCAGAATTTGATGGAGAAGATGGTTGGACAGCATCGCGTGTGGGGATGGCTTCCAAATCACGACGTTACCCATCAATGCCGGTGCCGCAGGTAGGTTTCCCGCAATGGCAGTGAAATTGAAAGGGGTGATGGCGTAGACGAAGCCTTCCAGCGGGCGATACTCGAGGCGACTAGTACTATCAGTCCTATCCATGATATAAACAAGGGGCACTCACTTCCAACATCCCCTAGAGTTATGTTCCGGCTGCTGGCTATACAAATCCTCGGCGTATTTGACGTTGAATCTAGACCTTGTTAGCCATCTATCATAGTCGTGTCATGTCTTCCTTACCTCAAGAAGTCCGCCAGTTCAGCAGCACAGTCAATCTCTGCTTGGAACACAGTCTTCCCTTGCCCCAGCATCGTCGCCACCAGCATTTCATTTCTGTATTTCCCCGACACAAGATCCGCGGCCTTTAGGAATATGGCTGCTCGATCTGCAAATGACATCCGTTGCCACTCCTCTTTGGCATCGAGTGCAGCCCCAATGGCCCTGTCGACGTCGTCCTTCGCAACGTTCGGATACTCGATCAGTGTCATCGACGGCTCGCCAGGGTTGGACTGCTTCCCGGTGCCGCTCTTAGCTTCTATCTACACTCCATTATCAGTATCTTCAATGCAGGACGGTCGGCATCAATGAAAACGAACCGGCTTGCCATCGACGTAGACCTTCATCTGCACCGGAAGTTTCGAGACGACATCGTTCTTGGTTTGGAGAAGCTTCTTTCGGCCAGGATCTCCAGATGCGTACATGTACTATCTACTGTCAGTTTCCCCAGGATAATCCACAAGTAAGGCTGCAACGCGGATCGTGGCGGGATACGTACTGTCGGTTCATTGCTGACTGCTGGTGTCTTGGCCGCGTTGAACTGAGATGCAGTTGCAATCGCGATCGACCGTCGCTGCTGCCCTAAGACAGATAAATTCTTTGACAAGCTGAGTCTCGCAGGATTATATCCGTGCAGTCGCTTCCCCAGAAAGAGCGTAGGTCGAGGGGAGGAAAGGCATCGTTGAATGGAAGGTCGAAGCATGTTCCCCTCTCTAAAGGTGGCCATTCGTTAGCAATTGATTTGTGAGCTGTAAGTAGCTTCTACTGGATCTTTTCTGGTGTAACAAAGAATTGGTTTGAAGTACCAGTGATAGAAATTTCTTTGAAGCCTTTTGAAGGAATGTTTGTTTGCTGCCGGAGCAGTTATTGATTATTATACCTTCAGTAATGAGTAACATGGCAGCTGCACGCGATGACGCGCCGCGGGGTTGGCTAGTGGGGCCGGGGCGAGCGGCTAGACACGGGACTCCCCAGTTGGGAAATAAAATGGGCTGTCACAGTTATCACACGCAGGAGGGAGATGTCACTGCATGAGCGGTGAGTGTTTATTGACATGAAGACCGATAAGATAATGAATTGTTCGTTACTCCGCACCTATGCCATGATAATCGCTCTGCGGCTCAAATATTCCAATAAATGGATGCCGAAATCGGAACACCGTATCGCTCGTCGCGGGAAAGATAGTGCGATGAGACAGAGGGGTACCTGGACAGACATAGAAATCTTTCCCCGCTCATTGAAAAGCATCATAAAAACGGGGTATCCAACTTATCATTTCATCATTACTGTTGATTATTCCCCCGATAAGCCTCTGGATAGTAATATCGCCGCGTCGAATCAACAGTGACATCGCTCACATCGCTAACCCGACGCTCCAACCCCGTCACAGTATCAGTGTCACTGTCCGAATCCCCATAACCCGCCGCATCTCGCAAGCTATAGCCGCTCTCTTCCCGCCTCAAAACATCCGGATGACCATGCCTTGTCGCCTTTAGCGGAATGAGCGGCGCCTCCACCGCCGAAACCCCTGGCGTGCGCTGCGGCGACACAACATACACCTCCGGTCCGACTGGCGGCGTCCCGATCGGACCGCTCCCGAGATCACGCGTTACCACTTCGGATCCTTTCTTCGGGTCCTGCGCGCCGTCGCGACGCGGATTATGAACGTCCTGGGCCAGGAAGCTGGCGTTGTTGCCGGTGCGGGATAGGTAGGCGGGATTCGACGGGCGGAGATACTCGGGGATGGGTTGGGGCTTGCGATTTCGTCGGCCGATGTACTGGACGATGGTGCAGGTGCCGAGTATGGCGAATATGACAAGATAGATGCCAAAGACGACTCCTGCGGCGATACTTGCGGGCCGAAGGTCATCTGACTGAGCAGGCTTTGTTGTTGAGGGTTGCGATGGTTTCGGCGCTCCGTTATTTTGAGGCCATGGCGCCATGTCGAAGATAAGAAAGACTTGTAGGACTTGAAAGGGTTCGCAGAAGTAGACTCGACAAGCGGGACTTATGAGAGATTGTAGAGAGAAGGAGGGTGAAGTTTTCTTTTGCGCCCAATGTTCTGGCCAGCAGGCAGGATAAGATGATCCAGAACAACGCGACTTGTGCCGTACAATATGCGACTCAGAATTTCAGCCCAAGGAGCGCTGTGTAGAAGTGACGTATCGCGATGCGGAACAGGACTCTCAAACGCGCAGTATAAGATTGACAAGGGCGAAAAGTCCAAAACTGGCACCCACCTCGACCTAATAAGGCCGGCAAAGGAACCTCACCAAACATCCAACCGTCAACGCCCTCCCTCGCAGGCGTTCCATTCATAGTCCACCGCAAAACGCCCACCAGCTCAGCCGCAAACGCGACGAGGGGAAACGCACGAAGCGTCGCGATGGACGGTGAGCAGAAGCAACGTACTGTCAGCCCTGAGCAGCCACGAGGCGGGCATACGAGCGAATGGCAGGGGCGTCGCCGACCGGCGTGCAGGTCTTGCGGTGCTGGCGACTCAGCGGCCAAGGATGGTCGTGATGAGGCTGCGGTGGGCGTGCACCTAGAGGCGGGAGGAGACCTGAGAGGGTGAGATGGTATCCTGGTGGTGGCTGCGCATCGTGAAAGTCTAGACCGCTGGTTGTAATTCTCGCGGCGTATAGACAGCCTTCCGTCGTTGTTTCAAGCCTCTCTTCGCGTAAAGAGACTCTTGACTGCATGCTCTATAACGGCTATAAGCTTATTCTCTCTTCAAATGAAGCGGATCCGGTAGATTGGTCGAAGGACTGGGGTTTCTATATCCGAGGACAACCCTAGGGCAAGGTGGGAATATGTCTCTCTGTGCTTTTTGGGCTGCTTTAATGCCAACGACCCTATATTGAGTCGGATCCACGCTGTGCCGAGGGCATATTCCACTTTGCCGGCGAATTTATATACGGTAGGAATAGGAACCGGCAGTTGAGGATCTTTCTGGTAGATTTATAAGCCAGTGAGGTAGTTGAAGCCTCCCAGCCAAAATCATCGTCGTTGGTATGGTCTAACCCTGGAGTCCACTACGAAGGTAATAATCGTTCCTTGACCACGCAGGCATTCTGACTTCAACTCGGAGTAGTATAAGCTCGTATATTATTATACGAATTATGAACAGCGTATCAAACAAGGTTTTCCAGACAACCCTAATGAGATGATGTCATCGGACTTCGGATACAAAAGCATAAACACCAGTTGCATGAGATCGCCGATCAATCAATCTCAATATACATGAGTCCAGTCGATTTCAGAGACCCCTCTTATCATAATGTCGTTAATATAGCCTTAATACAACCATTATGGATTCAACCCTACACAATGTCACGCTCTGTTTCTTAAGAAGTCGAGATGTCCAAGTCGTCAAGCAGCCGTTACGGCACTGTTCACTGATCCACTGATCCCGTCTTGAAACCCACATACAAACGCCTCTCTTCTTCCACCACCATGAAACTCTCAACCACCATCCTCGCCCTCCTCCCCCTCGCCCTCGCCTCCCCCACCCCCCAAGGCCTCAGTGGTCTCCTCGGCGGCGACTCCACCTCCACCCCCTCCACCTCCGGTTCCGGCTCCGGCTCCGGCGCCGCCTGCACCCCCAACGCCTTCGAGAAGTTCAACCTCAACCACCACCACGATATCAACACGGGGGACATCGTCACCGGGGACTCGATCCGACGTGACGCTTTGAAGGTGCCGGGCGGGAGCGGGTGCAGTCCGCTGTGGGCGGGTGGCGCGTATGATGATAGTGCGACATTTACGGGGGGGGAGTATCCGGCGTGGTTGAAGGCGGAGTTGGCGGGGGCGGGGACGGGGGCATAGGGGTAGGAGGAGGGGAGGTGAGGGGGGATGTGGAAGGTTGGGTATAAGACAGATGGCTCGCGTTAGTTGGTTGATATCGAGGCATGAAGATGTGCGAGGTCTTGCGACTCTTGTTTTATCTATCCGTTGGTATGGATCTCCGGCAATCGACTTTTTTGAGCCATGTCACTACTGTTATGCATATCAAGTGATCCGCCTTTTTGAGCATGTCGCATTGTTGCTTATGCCCAGTGCCATCATAGCCCTCAATGCTCGAATGCGATGGCATCTCTGGCGGGAGCGAGCTCCTCGGTCTCCAAGGACCCGTCCAACCCACACATCGGCCCATTCTTCTCTCGGTACTGCTTGCTTTCCTCCGTCTCCTCAATCTTCGCATCATCATCGTCAGTCCTCAGTCCATCCACGAACTGGAACGACCTCACCTCGGAGTTCTCCCACCCGGTTTCTAGTCCATCAGTCAACAACCCATCCACGTCACCTCGCCCAACTCATCTCCAAAACTCACCAGCGACCTCTTCATAGCCCGACCAATCCTGCGTGAGGTAGTGCAGAAATGTCCCATGCGTCACCAGCACCATATCCCGCTTCTCCCCCTCCAAACCCGCCAACTTCTTCCTACACCACCGCCTCACCGCCGCCGCACGCGCTTTCACCATCGCTTCATCAGTCGCCCACTTGCTCTTCTTGATAAACCAGTCCTTCCGCAGATGCGCCATGCTCACGAGGTAAATCCACGGCCCATCCACCACGTTGAACACCGCCACAAGCTGGTCGCGGTGCGAGCCCGTGTCGCACGGGCGGTCGGAGACCGTCTGGGCCTCGGCGACCGCGAAGACGGGAAAGCGCGGCGTGTTATGGGACACCGACAAGCCGGACTCGGGGATAGGCAGAGGGTCTGTACCGATTCCCGTCGACATCAGGCCCTCCTCCCGGCCCTCGGGGAGGAGGAGGTCTTCGAAGGCGAGGAGGGCGGTGTACAGGGTGCGGCGGAGGGGGGAGGCGGCGAAGAAGCCGATGCGGTCGCGGATGGAGGGGGGGATCGCATGGCGGAGGTGGCGGGCTTGGAGTCCGCCAGTGGGGGTGAGGAGGGGGTCGCGGATCTGGTGGTTGGCGAGGGAGGTGTTGTGGTTGGCTTGGGCGGAGCGGATGAGATGGAGGCGTGGGGGTTGCGTAGGGGTTGCCATCGTGACGGGTAAGGAGCTAAGACGAAAATTCGCTAAGGCTCTAAGGCGCTAAGGCTGAAATTTAATGCTTGCCCTTTTGACTATTGTCAGGTCTGGTCTACTCTGCTCAAACTCAATCCTTTAACATACTCTTGCTGTTGGTGGACGAGAAAGCAAGATGATCAAACGAACAAATATTTGGGGACAAGAGCGAGTGAGGGAGGAAAGTAAATCTCTAAGAGAAATATTATCACAGTTCACTGGAAGTAAGTCAATATTTGGCACCATCTTTCACTTCGCATTTACCTCTACCACTTCAGGAAATCGACATCATCATTTTAGAAACATAGTTCACCAGTCATCCTGCTGTGTATCTGGCAAATTCTTCAAGAGACCACAATAAAATAGGCCAGTGATGCATAAAGGCAACCTTTCTGCCCCAAATCTCATGAGCGTAGGTAGCATGTGATCTCTGCCTTCCTAGAATATAGAATCACCCCCCGTAGGATTTTTAATCAAGTATTCTTAATCATCATGGGAGGAATAGCTGAATCGCTCAAAAACAGTATCTTCGCGACCAGTGCATACTTCCTAATTAGGAATTCAAACGATACCCTTTTCTCATCTGATCGTCTGATCGTATAGTGATGTTTTGATCCTGATCTCGCGCCACATAACCACCTTGTTTATAGCACTCTCCGCCTTCCAGAAGTCCTCCGCATCCACGCCACTAAGCTATGAACTCCGTCCCTACTGTGCCGCCTGTGAAGGAAGTGGAATTGAGGATGACAATCCGACAGGCCGTCGGATGTCCTACACTATGTTAACACCGCGCGATTGATTTAAACGATATAAACGAACCTCTGCCGTGATATGCTGGCTCTCCTTCCTGAGCGCATCCTGCTTCCGGGACTTCATCGTCTCACTCTCCGTGCGAGGGTTCAAATCCTGCAAATCGAATGGAGCCTCAAACATAATCCCTCTAAGGCTTTTCACACGGGAGACTGCCACGTAGGTCAGGCCAGGCGCGAACTCCCGCTCCGAAATGTCTAGCACAGCCCGTGCTAGAGTCATTCTCTGCGACTTATGCGTTGTGATGGCATATGCGATAGTCAACGGGGTCTAACGATGTCAGCCTCAACGTATTCGAATCATTCACTCTACCTACAGCGTCACCATGATCGTGACCGTAACAACATCGCCAGCACTTCTTGACCAGTAGTCGGCAACGCTTTGAAGTAAACTCCCTATTAACCCTCTAGGACCTGCAGTTCGAGCATACTCTACCACTGGGGTCTCCAGAAGATGACATGTCGGAGGTAATAGTGGTAGATCAGGAATAAGTGGTGGATGGAATGATTGATATTCTTACGCGGTGTTGGTGTCTTTCTCTAGTTTGGGGCGGTTCTGGGGCGTCTGCCGGTTGGCTGAAGAAGTGGGTAAGGAGTTCCCTTGATATTGCCTAGTCTGTTTTCGCTAGCCCTTCGTTTGTCTTTAGGACTGATATCCTCCCAAACGCGCTTGACTGGGCTGGGTGGAGGAATTTTGCGGCTTTCCAGATGTTGTTGTTGTCGCTAAGGAATTCCTTCCAACATGTTCTTCGATCTCTCCGTATCGCGTCGTGGAAGGTTTTCGTAGCTACTCTGGCTTTCTCTTCTAGGCGGTTGTTGGGGGTTCCTGCTCTTCGCGTTGAGGCTGCTTCGTTTCTTGCCCTTGTATGCGCGATTTTGAGGTCTGTGAGATCCATTGTCCACCATCTCTTTGAGAATGCCGATGGCCTAGCGACTGGGGTGTCTTGGAGGACCGCATTCGTAACGATCTGGATTAGCTGGGTGCTGAACTCATCGATTTTCTCTTTTGGGATCTTCTTGTCCGGTGGAATTTGCAGGTTCTTCATCCCTTCCTTGGTGGTTTTTGCTACCCTCTTCCAGTTAGTCTTCCGGAAGAGCCTTCTTGGCTCGTTCGTGCAGTCGTATAGGTCTAGGTCAAATTGGGACTCGATTGCGTTATGGTCGGAGCCATATTCGGTAGGCCAGGTTGTACATCGGAGTATGTCTTCGAATAGCCGGCTTGATACCATGCAGAGGTCGATCGTGGTTCCTGAGTTATGTGTAGAGGTACCCCTGGGGAGGGCAAGTTGTAATCCTTGCTTATGCATGAATTGGATAATATCCTCCCCATGGTTATCTCTAACCCTGTCTCCTCCCCATAGCTGATCGTGACGGTTGATGTCCCCAGCAATGAGTAGATCATGGGATGGGAATCTTACGGTCGTGTTCTCGATCAAGTCTAGTATCTCTCTAACCTGGGCTTGGCTCTCCGCGACTGTTGCTGTTTGTATTGGTACGTAGACTGATATGATGATCATCTCTCGTCCGTTGATCTCCACTTCGATTGCTGTGATGTCTGGTGACCCTAGCTCTATTTGCCTGGGTCGCAGTTGGTGGCTTGCATAGATCAGTGACCGTACTGGGTATCGTAGTGTCTTATGGGTTTCGTTTGGGATGAACTGTTGGAAATATGAGTGAGTAGATGGTGCTGCAACCACTCGATCATCGTCTGTCAGGAAGCAGGATGGTTCCTGAATCAGGATAACGCTGATATCCTGTAGTGCTTCGTCGTTCATCAGTGCGTGCTGTGCTTCTGGCATTTTCCTCATGTTGGCCTGTAGTATTCTCAGAGGTTTACTACGCATTAGAGAATTCCTGGGGGACGTTTCTAGACCATGCGTCTAATACCCGGAGGGGGTCTTCTACCTGGGGGGCGTTTCTAGTCCTTGCGTCTTCTATACAGTCCACTGCGTTATGGTTGGGACCTTGGCACTTGAAGCATCGTCTGCTTCGTGGTGTTTCGAAGAACTCTTTAATTCTCACGTATGCTCCCTGGATAGAGATCGATCCTTCGTTGAGTAGTCTATCTTTCTCTGCTTGCGATCTACAGAAGACCACTAACTCGATTCTTAGGTGGGCTGATGGCCGGCTGAGTAGTCGCATGCCGCGGATCTGGGCATCGTTCTCGATGCAGATGTCCTTAACAATATCTTCATCGATCCGTCGACCTGTCTCTGGGTTGCCTACCGAGAATCTGTCGACTCCTGTTGCTTTGACTTTGAAATCCTCGCGGATATTCAATTTTATGTCCTGGAGCGTTGGATCGTTGGCCCACGGTAGTGCTGTCTCTATAGTTTCGACTTCCTGTTGTGATCGAAAGACGAAGCCTATGCTATCTGGTCGGCGGTTTAGTACGGCAGTGCACTTGCAATTCTTCGTTTCGTCGGTTGCCTGTAGGGTCTTGTTCATCATTTCCTTAAGCTCCTTATTACCGGCCGAACTATATCGAGAAGCCGAAAGGTTGAGGTTAACCGTCGGTGGCCTATGGTTTTCCCTCCTTATCTGGCCGTTTCCTGGAGAGGGGATACGTGTCACGACGGGGTCGGAGACGGAACGAAGATCTGGGATGGTGTCTGGTGGTGTAATGGCGATCGATGGTGAGAGCATCGTCGGGGAAGGGACTGTCAGGCTGTTCGATCTTGCCGCGGCGATTGCGGTGTATGATCCCGCTCGCGTGCTTCCCAAGGGGCTAGATATACTAGACTGGCTAAGCACGGTTTGTTCTACTCTCTCTAGGGTTTGTCTTAGCGTCTCGACCGTCTTCTCCATATCCTGGAATTTGTTCGTGACGTTCTCGAATTTGTTGGTCATGCTGTTTAGTTCGCTTTTCAGCCTTTCGTTCTCGGTTTTCAGTTCCATTGTCTGTGCTTTGATTCCTTGTTCTATTGCCGCGATGCCGTCTCGGAGCATCTTGGTAATCGCGTCACTCGAGCCGTGATCCTTCTTTTGGCTAGCCGCCATCTCTTGTTGCAGTCGTTCGTTTATCTCCCGGGCTCTGGCCTTTGCCGTCTCTTGGGTTACCTTCCCTGCTCTCGTTGTGACTCCTGATACCATAGGGGTCGATCCCGTGCTTGGCGGCTCTCGGGATGTCGGTGTTACTTTGCCCCTTCTTCCTGGAGGCGCCCTCGGGAGGGCGGGGGGCATTCCTGGTAGTCCTTTCTATTGCCCGGGTTCCTACGTGTAGTGTGGTATAGGGCTTCAGTGGTCGCTACCACAGATGATGGCCACTAGTCGTGTAGGTTCGTGATGCTCGTCTGTTGCTGGATGTGTGCGCTCTTGACGCGTCGCGACGCGTTTGTTTGCTTGCCGATCACCTTAACTTCCCACGCGTATTACGATGCAGAATTTCTAGTGCTTGCTATTACAAACTATAATAACTAGTCACGCAGGAAGCTTGGTTTCAATCGATTGGTGGAGAGGAAGGAGAGAGATAGAAATAGAAAGTAAACAGTGAAAAGCATCAAAGTCACGTGGTTTCCTTTCGCAAACCCCTGTCTAGCCAATCAGAGGGCAAAGAAGAATTGATTCGACCACTTAGGTAACTCGCTACGCTCGTGATGATCGCGTTGCTGTACAACATGTGCGGCGTATTTTCTCCCAACCCAGTCGGTCGGGCAGTGCCGCTGAAGTGAGCGGTGAGTCGACGACCGTGAACCATCGATATTATTAGTACCCGAGTGCCTCTGCTTGCTTGCTTCATCTCCTGTTCTCCACACGGCATGAACTTGTCCAGTTGAAGCCGTCCACGATATGATATGACGGGGCTTCAGTGCCATGGGTGACAAGATGTTTGCCCAGATTTATTCAGAACCCTGACAGCATGGCGGTGCATGTACCACAAGTTTCTTGGTTTGCTAAAGGGACCTTTGTCTCATATGGACGACGACGTTTACAGACTTACGAACGGGTGGAGATGCGCCGAGATTTGTCACAGCAATATAAGTACCAACTTCCAGCATATGACGTACAATTGCCCAAACTGGGATGCTGACGTACCCACATGGTTGAAGCATGATAGATAGCTGGTAAGCGGATTAACGGATTGGAAACCAGTAAGCTGACAAGTTCGCAGTCTTGAGTCGAAAACCTGGATTTGAAATATGGAAGCTGTTTCACGGTCGACCAATTAAGGTACGGCCCGACTATGGGCCAACCGGCGAGTTTGTAATGGTTACCGTACCTGGAAGACGAGAATCGAACGAATATACGTATCGACTGGTCGTGGATGAACACACGCGACATCAATTCAGTGGATATAAGTAACCGGTGTGCGACTAACCGTCTTCTCATGTTGTGTAATGAACCCAATTTCCCATCTACAGCCACTGATCCCTCCCCTTCTCTGCTCTGACCCCTTTCTCTGCTCTTATTTAGTTCCAAGTTGCGTCCTTCAGACCATCAGTCCTAGGGCATAGTTCCCAACCATGACCAGCTCGAGCAAAGCCCTCTTCAACCTCACCGCCACGTGCATGGCCCAACAATCCCCTACCCACGAACCCTCCGCCCCCCTCACAACACTCCTCCTCCTCCTCCTCTTCCTCCTCCCCCTCTTCTCCCTCCTCCCCCTCCTCCACAAAGACTACATCCTCTTCCTCTCCCTCGGCCCCGGCGGCACCCCCCCCACCCCCCTCGGCTACCTCCGCATCAAATTCCTATCCCTCTTCGCCCACCCGCATCCCCGCCGCGCCTCCCCCCTCCCCCCCACCGCCGGCTACCTCCATCCCTCCACCCTTCCCCCCCGCCGCGGATCCCGCCCCACCGTCGTCGGCATCGCGCCCCACCGCCAAACGAACCAGCACGCCCACGCGCCCGAGTTCGCGATGCTAGAGCGGGCGATCCGGCGGGTCGCGGACGATCCGGGGAACGCAGCGGTGTTTGGGGTGAGTTGCATCGAAAAGCATGGGCCGGCACTGTTTAGCTGCTCAGAGACACGCGAGGGGGGAAGCGGGGCGGCGACGACGGATCGGGATACGGAGCTGCTGCACGCGCATCCGTGGGACGGGTCGATGCACATCGTGCTGCATCCGGGGGACGTGCGGGTGGTGTTAATGCAGGGGTGGGGGGAGCGGCATCCTCTGGGGAGGGGGGGGTGGTTGCGGCAGTTTGTGCCAGAGGATTTTATGCTAATATACGCGCCGCGGAATGCGGAGGAGGTGGAGATCGTGATGCGGATTGTGGAGGCGGCATGTTGGTGGAGGAGGGGAAAGGTGCGGGGGAGGGGGGAAGCGGAGTTGGGTGGGCAGGAGGGGGTGAAGGTGGAATGGACGTTGTCCGTGGTGGACGAGCTGTCGGACATGGAGGCGAAGGGGGCAGTGCCCATCGTGGAAGAATCAAAGGCGGCAGAATTCCAAATACCCATGGTGGTCGCATCAGTGAGAGTGGAAGAATTTGACTATGATTAGATCGGCATAAATATCGGGCTGGCGTCCAGGAACTGCACATTTAGTTATATAAAACCAGTTCTATTACACGGATTTGGCGACCGACGTGCTACTCGTGCGACCTTACCCATTCCAAAAGCGAGGAGATCGTGCCGGTGGAAGACATTGTCACTGTGATTAACGTCCCGCATGCTATTGCCATCAGGCACGCGTGGAGGATCCTCCGTCGGTGGGCTTCCCGTTGCACGTAGGTTTCCCATTCATTCAGATCTGGGACATTCTTCCCCTTCTCCGCCTCCAGGATGTCACCTTCTGATGTGTAGGCAGATATGGAGCCAATCGTCAGCGAGAAGCGTCCCTCTTGCTCGCCGAAAAAGCTTCGGTCATTAGTTGGCTAGAAATGGTGGAGATGAAGAAAATAGTCTACTTACCTTCTCATCATGATGCTCATCTGCTTAATGCTTGACAGCCTGAGTTCTGGGGCATTGTTTATGGGTTTCCCACGATATGTGGCGTTCATGCGTGAGAATGGAAGGAAAACATCTGTCTCTGAACCTGAGAGTGTGAAGTCTGCCTCATATGAGAGAGTGCCCTGGCCTTGGCCCTCCGGTTGGCGCCGGAGAATCATGTCCTTCACACTGAAGGTATAGTTTTTCACTGTCCCATTATCAAGACATATTATACAAAGGGCAATAATCTCGGCATACCATCAGAGTTAAGAATCCTCAGTTTCACCCCAGTGAACCCTTCCAAATCCCACGACCGATCATCCCCAGTCGTTCGCTGGCTTGCAAAACCCGCGCCGCGTAGGGCATGGATATCAAGAATGCCGCAGAATTCGGCACGGTGGCCATCAGTTAGGAGATGGGACTGGTTGAAAGTTAATATTTCGGAACTCTGACGATGGTTCAGTGCATGGAGGATACCTCAGACCTTCCTCCCCTTACTCGATCATCGAGCTCGGTCCAGTCGGGATTCCGCCAATGCCTAATATATCAGTGGCAGCTTGACCAATACGCAACTCCCTGATCGCACTCACTTGTTCCCACCAAATAATGGCTTCTCTTTCATGATTGTGGCCATTATTGAGCTCAATTCCCATCTTATTAGTTACAGTATGTGAATCTGGATGCAGTATTTCGTATATATCGGGAGCTGGTGCGAGAGCTGGAGCAAGGACGTCATAGATTAGTGTATCCATGTCCCTTTACGGGCAGGCTAACGACATTTGGAAAAACGCCACAGCTATCCCTGCGAGCGCCACTACTGCTAATGGTTTTAGGACTAGCGCCACAATATATCGTAGTGCAATAGTATTTCAACCTTCTGTTGTTCAACGTCATCTCATAGTCTTCAAATCCAAAACATTGACTCGAGAAATCCAAACCCAAATTATCCCACAGCAGGAGGGCCATGGAGAGGCTTGTGGAGATCCATGGATGCCACCATCTCATCGGCATGAGAAGGCATGTCTGCATTTTGCATGAGTATAATATCACCAGCACTGGCCTCTGCTTAGATAGAGGACAGAGAGACCCGGATCTCACGCGAATATGTCTTCGTTCGACCCATATGATAGAGTATGGTAAGGAGAGGCGAGGTTAAGTATAACTTAAAGTTCCGTTTGTCAGAGTTCCGTTTGTCAGAGTTCCGTTTGTCAGAGTTCCGTTCCGGCTGCCCGCATTGCTGCCCCTTTCATTAAGTCAGTCATATGGATTCTTCGCGTTGAGTTGGGGACACTTAAAGTTATATTCTTCTGTATTTTCTCTAAGCAAGTATTATGGAGGGACAGGAATAGCCTGGCTCATGCTGCGATCGAGCAAGTAGGGGGCCACGTGAGGAGATGGTTACATCCTGTGCCTTCCTTTCTCAGACAGCACCCACCTATAAATTGCTCTACCACATCTCAAACTCGATTCTCCATCGCAGTTCGACTCAACCATAAGTACTGCGATTGGGCCAATAACGAAACATTTCTGCCCTATTGGCCTCTGGATACTTCTCACGTTGCATGGCATGTGCGTCACCTTCTCGGGCCATTCCACTGTGGGGCATACACATGCGGTTCGTGTCGGTTTGTTAAAGACTTTGACAGACCTTGATAGTCCACCACTTTCGTTCTGTGATTATATTTCAACTTCATTCACTTGCTCCTACTCGAACTTCCCCGCTACCCCGATAATACGGTGCACTCTCCCCTAGACTCGAGTCATCCAGTCCTCATAATGGGGGACTCCAATCAATTCGCCGTTCTGCAGGAGTCTTCACCTTCTAGAACGAACAAGGATGAAGAACCTGACCTCATGAGTTTCTCGGATGATGAAGAATCTCCATCCTCAGAAGCCGCGAAAGCCAACGGCGTAGCTCAACTGCCAATTCAAGAGACTGCCCCCAAGGTTGTGCTCCCCTCCGACCTCCCCCAGATCGAGTATCAAGTCGGACTTATCACTGTCGGAGCTAAAAGCGACACTGTGAACCGAAATGGCATGTCTACAACCGCCAAGGTGGAAACTTCCTCTCTGAAGCAGCTTGAGGTCGCACCGACGAGACCGAACCCACCGATCATGCCTCCGCATAATTCAGCACATCTACCCAAGCCACATGGTAATGGCTCGAAACCCACCTACTCTCAGGTCGATGATCCGAACCGGAAGCTCCACTTCACCAAGAAGATGGAGCCAATCGGCGGTGGACTTCCACGCTACACCCACGTTCTGAGTAGTGGCCCTCCAAGGCCCACGCGGAAAGGGTCTCGCCGTCCGAAGATTTTCAGTTCGCTTGTGACCGATCCCGACAATGCAGGTCGGCGTAAATGGCGCAAGAGGGAACGACCTTGCGACGAAATGAAGTTTCCTCCGGGATTCGATCCGGGCGACCAGTCTCACCTTCCGGCGAGGTATCCTCGGCTCGATTTGGCCGACGTCGCTAGGTCCTGCGAAGTGTACATGGAACCAAACCTAAATATACCGAATGGCCACATTCTGTTGAATTTCTATGGTCTGCCGAATGATGTACGGAGAGCCAAAGCCAAGATCCAAGTATGGCTTCAGGCCGTTCCGAAGGAGCTGCTCGGCACTAAATTTGCTAGGGTCCGGGCGGAAGTCACCCGATTCTATGGGGAACAGTCCATCCTCGCCCAAACCTCGCTGGAAAAGTATCGACGTCCTCCCCCACCGAACGTTATCTTCGGGATGATCGCCGAGATTGCCTGGGGCCGAAGAGACTGGAGAATGGAGGAGGTCCTGGGAGAGAACCTGGAGGCTTTGGATCCAATCCGAATGGACCATAAAATCTACATCACGAAGAAGTGGGATGCGCATGGCGACCCAATTCTGTGCCTGTATTGTGAGGATAGTCTCGGAGCGACAGAGGGAATGGCTCGCATTATGGCGATCGATAAACAAGTTGATGCCAGGGAATACGAGAAGCCCCAAATCGTACTGTTCAAACGGGTGTATCTTTCCGAAATTGTGGACACGGTGGCGGTTCGCAAGTTCACCACGAGCACTTTCTGTTCAACGGACTGGGCGGGCTTGACGAACGAACCGCCCCCTGTTATCGGCTTCGCTTGCGAGCTGGAGGGAAAGCAACTGGATTCGTATGCACTCACTGCACGACAGGAGATGCTGCCACCACTCGGGCCCTCGAATGAAGAAGCTAAACTTGTTGAAATCGACAAGCTAGCGCCTGGGTCGATTCTCCTTGGAGTGAGCGACAACGACGAAAGGAACCTCCAGCTGCTCGAGGCTATCACGATCCCGACCTTGGAACTCCTGAACTATTTCCGAGGCAATCTGAAGATGCGAGTCCGCGTTGGCCAATTCCTCGTTGATGCGGTGAGGACAGACAAGAAGAACAATCCCGTCACCAAATACTCGCTCGAGGAGTTCGAGCAACTCATCAACGAACGCAACGCTGACGATGTAGGGAATTTCAATTCGGAAGTCACTGAGCATCTCGGCGATCGAAAACTCGAGAGGCATATCCTCGGCCGCCTCCAACGCAGCAGCGCAATCCTAAGTCCCTACGATCTCCTCACCGACGATCTCAATAGCATGCGACCCCGCTACTCCGCGACCTTCTTGTTCAAATTCCAAGAAACCAAGAAGTCCTACAGCACGTACCGGCTCGAGACATCCTACGCAGCCGACCTGCAGCCTATGGAAGGTGGACAAGCGTCCAGCCGCGGTACCTGGTCCAAGTTCTTCGCGAACGAAGACGGCCCCACGCAGATGCTTCAATTCTGCTTCGCCGACCTGACGGGACGCGGACTCTCGTACCACTTCGGCATCGAGGGTACCCATTCGCTCCACGAATCGCAGGTGCCGAGCCGCCTCCTCGACTTCGCGAAGACGATCCGATTCCACCCGGAGGTCGCGGGCGTGCATTGGATGAACGGGAAGCGGTTCGTTACGTTTGGGGATGAGCGGTCGCTCGCAATGTCCAAGCTGCCCCTGATTGAGTTCGTGCAGCGACGTCACTGGCTGTTCCGGATAAAGGGGACCGAGTGCGTGATCGACTTGTCATACGTGCAGACTGCGGAATTGAGCGAGCCAGTAGCGGGGTCGAAGGCGGAAGCGAAGATCGTGGATACGCCGAGGAGCGGGTGGGCCCTGAACATGTTCTACGAGAACTGGGACGACTTGCTAGGATACAACGGGACGTTGGCGATCGGGAACAAGACTTTGTGGAGGCCGGAGGAGTGGCAATTCTTCGGTGCAAACGCCCCCCGATGGAAGGCCTATCTGCAGGGGACGTTCTTTAAGGAGCTGATGCAAAACATGGAATTGCTGGAGAATATTGTGTTGGGACAGTGTCAGGGACATGGATATCAGCACCTGATCGGGAACTATGCGGGGGGAGATTTTGCTCCTAACCACGACGTGGACTTCCCTGATTACAACGTGGCCGCGTCTAGCCATTACGATAGTGGGGATCCTACTAGCGATTTCGATCGGGACACTTCTGCCGGTTACGATGCCGACACTCCCGCCAATCACAATAAGGAGTCGGGTTAGAATGCTGCGCTGTGCTCTGCCGTTCACCCATTATTCTTCAGCCCCTCGTCGTCTAGAAATCCGCATACGTTGACGGACCCAGCCCTGGAGTACTGAGGTGGGTCGGAGGGGGTCGCGAGAGTTCTCGAGTAGGGATACTCCTGCGACGATCATGAAGGGTGCTGCGAATATGGACAAAAAGCTGAGATTCGAATGATTTTCATGTACACTAGTTTCACGAATACTCACTTCTCGTAAAAATGCAATTCATTGATTGCGAAGCTTTGCTAATGCAGCCATGACACCGTCGTCCAGTTGCTCCTCAGCCGGTCGTTTCTTTGCCGCCTTTACCCTTTCATTCTCAACGCGAGAGCTCTCGGCATTCCTCTCCGCCTCTAAACGTTTCCTTTGCGCCTCAACTTCCCTTAAAGCCGCCTCCTCCGACTCAAGCCCAACAGTGTCTACATCAATCGCATTGCTCGGCAGGTTCTCCGTCTCCTCAATCCCAAACGTCCCCGGACCCCCTGTCCGCCGTCCTACCGGCGCGCTCGCACCGCCATCTTCCCGGACCAACCCTCGCTTGGCCGCCTGCTTCAACCGAAACGGCTCCCGCACGGAATTACACCACCGCTGCACCTTCTTCTCGCCCCACCCAGCAATCAACGCCACCTCCTCCGGCCTCGCATTCACCGCGGTCCGCAGACTCCCGAAATTGGAGATCAACCCCACCGCATCCGTCTTGTTGACGCTCCGCGGCACGGTGATGAACTCGATCAACCGATCCGAATACCCGGTCGCCTGATGCGCCTTGATGCTCGTGGGCTGCGCGTGCTCGTACATCTTGTACAGCTCGACGTAGTGGCCGGCCTCCTGGGCACTCCAGCACAGAACGATGGTGACGTTGTTGACAAGGCTGGTTTTCGAGAGCGCCTTGAGCGCGGCTTCGTGGTTGTCGACGTCCACCATGGTGAGCACGAGGCGCAGGTTGTATTTCCCCGCAAGCTCACGGATGCGGCCGTAGATGTACTCCGGGTGCAGGCGGTGGTATTTGAGGGAGAGGAAGAGCGCGCAGGTGGTCTGCCCGAGGACGAAGTCGGCGGGGATGTCGTCAGAGTATTCCCATGGGAGGGCGGTGATGTGTTTGAGGATGGGGTTACCTTTTTGACGGGGGGAGACGAGGATCGCGGTTGGGCCGGGCCGGGTGGGGAGGGCCTGCGGTGTAGGCTGTTGGATCTTGGGTCTGGATTCTGATGAAGCCATGATGGAGTTGAGGGCTTCAAGGTTGATGGAGATATAGCTCGTCACCTTCCTGCGGCCTTGAGATTGGGCTGCAAGAGTTCATTGTGGTCTGAGGGTTGAGACATTAACTCCTCCCACAGTGGCAGTGTAGGATGGTGTATAGGCCGTAGGGAGTATGGATTGGATCAACGGCTCATTAAGGACGTGATAGTCTGTAGTGATGTTTGGGGGGAGGTTAGAGGCGCTGGTCACATGATAATGGTCACATGATGAGGATACATAGATCACATGACAGTAATGATATGTCACTCGTCACATGACCAATCACATGACCACAATCAGTTTCACTGTTTCACCTCATTGTTCCTCTTCACCTTCACCCACTTCTCCCTCCGACGCCTCCTCCCTTCCTCTCTCTTACACACATTCTTGATACCCATCACACATATCCCACCGACTCTCGACTCTCGAACCGTCGATATATGACCCATGCTGCGCTTCGCTGCTTGACGGATCGATATTCACTTGGAAAAGGCTGTGCCGGTCAGCCCGACCGCGATCCACTCCTAGTTCCCCCATCACTACTCTAACCCACCGGTCACCACGATCCATCTCTCCATCCGACCCGCGCAACCTTCGTTTCGATAGACCGCCATCTCTCGCCGATAGGGCACTGCTCTGATGTCCGCTCCCAAGCGCGCGAGGCACTCCGGATCGTTCTCACCTGCGTCGCCGCCGTACTATCAGCACGCCAAGCCGGACGCTTCCTCACCTTCGAAAATCGCCGCCCTTCAACCCAACACACCCACCTCGCCTCCGCACATGTCTTCGAATTCACAGTCCTACGCTTCGTCTCATGCCACCGATTCGTCCGGTCCGACCGCTTCAACGCCGATTAGCCACGTTCCGAGCGCAGCATCTCAGCCCACCCAGAATGATCACTTGGATGCGATGATGGTCGATGACTCTTCGAGAATCTCGACCGTCGCTTCGGAAAAGAAGTCGCCCGACCACACTATTATCCACAATACCGACGTTATCATGTCAGAGACGGAAGATCACAGACGGTCGGATCATGATAGGCAAGGGGAGCCTGGGTCGCGAGCAGATGCCAAAAAGGCGGCAGAGGACCGGCAAGAGGCAGATTCGGATGACGTCTTCTACAAGCTTTGCAGAACCCGTAAGACTCCCAGTCCCTTTCTGCTGATTGGTTCAGCCATACCCTTGATTGTCACAACATGACCCCTATGAAACACCATCGCTTTTCTTTGAGGCACTGTTGTTGACTGTCTAGAACACGCCAAATCTCGGCCGCATCCTTCGCAGAACCTCATCTCCTTGTACAAACTCGATCCGTTAGCGGCCTCCGTGGCACGGTTCGACCCCACCACAGGCGAGAAGATCAACAAGCTGCGAAAATCGTATGAGGGCAAGGTGAAGCAGATGGGACTGGCGGGGAAGTCACGGGCCGTTCACACGCCTGGGGAACTCATGCAAATGATGAGCTATCCGGATGAAGACTGGTATGCGACGCACGTTCACAGCAAAGCGATCGACCGACCGCGCAACAACGCCAGAATGGCACGAGCTCTCAGCATGGCACCGGGACGCATGCCCAATTCCGTCAGCGAGACTTACAGAGCATTGGTCTCGGACGATATACGCAACAAACCTGCAACCGTTGCCATGAAGAAGCCTGCTGGGACTGTCAGTGGTGTTCGATCGGCTCCTTCATCTGCACGTCCGTCAGCTGCGCCTTCGCCTATGTCGAGACCTAGCCGATCGGGAAAGAAGCGCAGCTATGTGGATGAGAGTTTCGTTGGATATGAAGGGTTTGGGGAGGAGGCGACCGGGGACGATGACCGCGGTTATTCGAAAAAGAAGCGGAGAAAGGTGAGGAATTAATCTTTTTTCATTTCTTCTGCCACATTTTCTGGGTACGGGAAGCCGAAGATATTCTTGCTTCCATCTACGTCTGCTTGAGATAGAGCAGATAGATACTGAGGAAGCCTTTCTATTTCTTTTCAGATTTCTCTGGTCCTGTCTAGGATGTGATCTCTCTCTCTCTATCTCTCTCTCTACGATCTCCTACCTGGCTTGCGCCTCTCATCGGGACCATCCCGCTGACATCGCACCCTTGCAGGACTTTTCACCCACGGTTCCCAGCCCATTGGCCATGAGCGAGCGGGGAATGAACCACCACCTAGGAATGGTTGGAGCACGACGATGATGCCATGCATTTCATGCCTGATGATACCAATTTGACTTCTACATGAGGAAGCTTTTTACACACCAAAAGTGCCGCGACAAATATCGGCGACACATGAATACAGAGTCCTGGACACGGCCAGTACTGGGGCACACCCCCAGAATCGATTTTGCGATATAGTCGCTGCGCTGAGCAGCGGAAGATATGAGGGACCGCGAGCACTTGTCGAGGAGCTTGATTGGAGCATATGCAGGAAAAAAGACCGCGCGGCGATATCATGACCACGCTGGAGCTGAAGTTACCACGTAACAGGCGCAGAACATCCATTGGCGTGTTTTCTTTGGGGAGTTCCATGCGCTCTCCATGCACGAGCGCGTAATTCAAAATCAGGAGAGCATCGACACGGCTTTCCGGATGACACCATCTAGCTAGCCTCTCATTCGGAGCAAAATGAAGCTGAAAATTTTTACAAATCCCATAAACACCGCGATCCACCATTGCCAATTCTGTGTCTAGTGAATCTGCATGCCAGGGTATCTCGCTCCTCCACACTATGAAGACGTCCCACTTCCACCCCATCATCCCTCCCACACAATCCATATATGAAGGATATCACCGACCCAACTCTAATCCAACCCCAATCCAACCTCCTTCCTCCTCCACCCATCTACAACCTCCCCTTCCCCCCACCCACCCCCAACCCCTCAATCTCCTCCCTCAACGCCCCCCTCAACTCCCCCGCTAACGCCTCCGCCTCCTCCTCATCTAGATCCTCGCGCGCGCCCTTCCCGAACATGGTCCAACTGCGCCATGTCGCGCCATGTGAGGAGGGGGCGTTCAGTGGGCCGCGCGGGATGATGTGGAAGTGGATGTGTGGGACCACTTGGGCGGCAGAGATGCCGTTGTTTTGGACGAGGTTGTAGTCGGTGCAGCCGGTGACGCGGGCGACGGCGCGGGAGAGGAGGGGGAGCCAGAAGCCTAGGGGGGTTAGCTTTGGTCGTGTAAGGAAGGGGATGGTGGGGTAAGGGGGATATGTCGAGGATTGAGGTGGTTGGGGTGAGTGGAAGGTGGTGCAGCTGGGATATCCCACTCCGCGGACTCCAGCGATCCGAGGAACCATAGGAACCGTGCCACCGCCAAACCGCCCGCGAACCCCGTCCAACCCGCCGAAACCACCAAATGCTATGCCGTCGCTAACAAAATCAAATCTCACTCACCCAATCGCCCCATCTCCTCCCCCTCCGCGCCCCCCATCTTCTCCACATGCCGCCTCGTCGTCACTAGCAGGTGCCCGCGCGTCATCGGCATGATGTCCAGGAACGCCAGCGTGTCGTCCGCGGCGAGCACGAGGAAGCAGGACGGGGACAGTTGGTAGGGGTCGGGGTTCGTGGGAACGGCAGCAAGGAGGGGAGCGATGGGGGGGGATGATTTGGGGGGATTGGGGGAGGAGGTGGTGTGGGAGGAGGGGCCAGGGAAGGTGGAGGCGATGGTGCAGAAGGGGCAGGGAGGGTCGGGGTAGGACATTGTGGATGGCGAGGGAGGAGAATCGTTAATTGAGGTACACCAGCTTAAGATTGATTACAAGAAGTTATGTTTGGATTATAATAATGCCCTGAGAAAGTGGTCTGCAAGTATCATGAGCTTCGTGATCCGATTCAGGGATCCTCGGCAGTGCGAATGACATCAACCGCGGGTGGCCAATCATCGATCGCCGTGAGACCCCCTTACTCCTGACAGGACACAGCATAAGGGGTACATACAAGGAATTCTATAGTAAGATGTACGTATTTTCAGCCGTAATACTATGATATTCAATTGACTACCTAAGAGCCGTGCTATTGTTCCCATAGGTCAATCATCACGTCGTGACAAAAAGGGGAGAGTCCAACTCCTATCTCAGATGTGTACTATACAGTTCCATTCAGATCATTAAGCCCTCCCAGTAGAGTGAAGGAGCGTACTGCCATCAAGATTTTTGCTAGATCGCATCCCAACGCCCGTCCATTCGTCCCAAGAACCCTATCCCATCCCAGTTCCAGCCATCCAGCTCGACCTCCGCCCGTCTTCTCACCCATTCGCCGGCCAATGCAAATCGTCCATCATCGCCCACTCCCCATTCGCCGGTGTCATCCCCGTCGGCCCCGGCGTCATCCCCGTCCCCGCTCCCATCCCCATCCCCATCCCCCCCATACTCCAGTCCCCGAAATCCGCATACCCCGCACTCGCATCCATCCCGCCCTGCCCCGCCGTCGTCGCCGGCCCCCCCATCGCCCCCATCGCCCCCACCCCCATCGTTGCCCCGCCCCCCGGCGCCATCGCGGCGCCGTTCCCTAGATTCCACCCCGCGAACCCGAAATCCCCATGCAGGCCTAGCGGGCCCGTCCTGCTCGAAGACGCGCCCGACGTGTTGTCCCCCGGGCTGAAGCTCGTGTTGCTCGAGCTGCCGCGGTGGGACGACCCGGTGAGCGCGGCGCCCGAGCCACCGGAGACGCTGCCGCGGCCGGTGGAATCCGGGGTGGGGCGATCAGCGTCGGGAGTGGGGTCGGCGGTGGCGGAGGTGGGGGAAGCGCCGACGCCCATGTCGAGGTCGGAGGGGGGGGAGAGGGAGGAGACGTGGCCCATGGAGGGGGTGCGGCCGATGGAGAAGGTGCCCGGGGGGAGGCCGGGTTGGGCGCGGGGGGAGGGGCGGGAGCGG